AGACTTTGGAACATAAATGATTATTTATAGATGATATATAATTGTTGTCTGGCCATTGAAAGCCTGCAACCAAAATGTGCTCACTAGAGATTGTAGAGCTAGTCCACATGAATTGAGCGGTTTAAGTCTTTTGAAAATACACAATAATAATTATTATTTATTTTTTTTTATATATTTTTTTTAAATTGAGATTTTTAACAAAGTTCCAACAGGAAAAAAAAAAAAAAAAAGATCGGGCAGCTTTTAAATCCACAGCTGTCAATTCAGTTCTTAAGATAAAATCAAAGAAATCTGTAAGTTACAGGGGAAGATACATAAACATTAACAGCAATAGGCTTCTTGTTTTGAGCCATGACAACAGTTTTCAAGAAAAAATGTAGGAAAATACCCAATTATTTTGAAGAACAGATTTAATTTAGGTTTTTACTTTTATAGACATTGCTTAATGCACATAAATAGAGCACATCAAATATGGTAAACAGAAGCTCAACCACGGTGATTTGCTTGCGTGATGCGCAAGAACAAGCCTTATTGGTTTTCGCACTGAAAACAAAATGTTTGACCTTTTGTTTACCATACTTTGTGCTCAGTGTGTGTGCGTTGATCAATGTCTATATGTAAATAAAATCCTAAATTAAAATCTGTTCCTCAAATAATAAAGAGATTAAACTGCTGTGCTTGTATGGTTTACTTTTACGATGTCTTTTTATACTTTTTGAAGCATGCAAATTTTGGTAGCATGGACTTTAAGTGGTTTGGGAATATTAAAAATATATCAATGGTGAAGTGAAGGCTTATGGGCTTTGGGAGCATCGTGAGTAAATGATGACAGAATGTTCATTTTTGCGTGAACTAAACCTTTAATAATGTGCTAATAGTTCTTTAACGTGTAATTATGATGAATGGAGTCTAGAAAGTAGGTCATACAGGTTTGGAACAATGCGACTGTGAGGACATGACGGATTGTTTCATTTTTTGGTGAACTATTCCTCTAAAACCATCATACTGCTGGAGGCAACTTGTAATGCTTGACAGTTTATGGAAGAACATGACATAAAGACATGCCTGAAACATCTCATTACCAATCCTGTTTTTAAATGGAATTTAGCGGTGACTGCTGTCATGGGTGTGCGGCTGTAATGTTGTCTCTTTCTCTCAGGGTGCAGTTTAGAGATGGATTCGAAATCTCGTCGGTTTCCGTTTGCTGTCTCCAGCTCTTCCTCCTTGTCATCGTCGTCCTCCTCTTCAGCGCTCAGTGCGAGCCGGCTCTATGGCAGAGGGAGCGTCTTGGGAAGAGATCGCTTTAGCAGAGAAGCTTCTGTCAAATTAGACTCAGACTATCAGGTATTACAGTGACACATTCTTTTCTGTAGTGTCTGCGTTCACATCCACAGGTAGTGGAGCTTAAGTCTCTCGGTAGAGGACTGCCATCTCCTCTGAATCATCAGTCCCTTCTGCTGAGCCAGTCACCCAGAAATCCATATTCTTTCCCTACATAACCCAGCACAGTTAAAGCAGCGTTTCAGGTTCAATACCGGTTGTATAGATTTATTGACAGTGTCTGTGATATGATGTTAATTACCACAGAAAATAGCTTTGACTCTAGATTGAATGGAAGTCTATGGGACGATGATATGTTCCACAAGTTGATTATCCCTCAGAGACCTAAGCACTGATATTCATGTTTTTTCCCTCCTCATTCTTAAAGGGGTCATAGGATGCTACATGCACTTTTACAAGTTGTTTGAACTGAAATGTGTGTTGGCAGTGTGTGTACACAACCACCCTATAATGATAAAAATCCACCCAGTGTTTTTTTTTTTTTTAAATCTGGTTAAATGTTTTCCCCTTTCTCAAATCGAGCCGATCTCAGATGCCTGTCTGTGTGATGTCACACAGACAGGCCCCTCCCACGATAGTTTGATTGACAGTAGCGTTTCAGCACAGACTGGACTGGCGTCTTACCTCAGACCCACTCTGAGTGAGCTGTCATCAGTCCGCCATTTTCACCGCCGGAGCAGATGTGTAGACAAGAATGACTCCTAAGAGACTGAGGTGTTCTGTTATTCGATTCACGATTTTGATTTCACGATTCGATTTGATTCACGATTCTTTTTTTTTTACAAAATGAGATTTAAGACAAATTATACATTTAAATGTGTCCTTTTATTTTTGCTTGGACAAAATGCCGCACGTTTCTTTGTGAAATTGAA